ACCTCTCTCAGATTTGTTCATTTTGTAATGATATCTTCAATTCTCTAATTTTGGTGAATATTTTTGTAATTTTTGGTAAAAAGTGATATTTTCGACTTCTTGTTAAAAACCAAAAGTTCAATTGCTTTGATATTACATATATAGATACTACATGTAGACCTTTCTCAGATTTGTTCATTTCGTGATGATATCTTCAATTCTCTAATTTTGGTGAATATTTTGGTCATTTTTGTTAGAAAGTGATATTTTCGACTTCTTGTTAAAAACTGCAAGTCCGATTGCTTTGATACTATACATATTGTTCATTTTCTAATGATGTCTTCAGTTCTTTAATTGAAATGTGCATTGCTAACAGCGGAGCTATCTCAGCCGATAGGCTGCTTGTTTTTTTTTTAAACCCGAACTGCCGTTTAACAGCCCTGGGCGAATGTATGGCAGAATCCGGTACAATCGTCTGATTCGTCACAGCTACATCATTTTTTAAATTTGTACTATGTAACGATGCATTTTATTAGATAAAGCCATGCATTGATGCAAAAAATAACCAATCAGATATTTGTTCCAAAAAAAACACAAATAAATTCATTTCCTCCACTTATGATGTGAATTGAAAGTATTGCCTTTTTACCAGGGTTTTCAATCGTGATTGAAAGAAAATGTAAATGTAAATTGAATCGATGACATTCGTCAAATTATAAACATTTATGTGTTTTGGCAAACATTGGTGTGGACTTCTTCGTGATCAGCAATGTCTGTAATTGTACAATGGCTGCACTGGTCGTTTACCTATCATTCGCTAGGCGATGACATTGCTCCTGCTATAGGTTACTGTGTGAACTTGGTCTTAAACCATAGACCTTATGTTTTAACAAATGATATCGATTTTATATATATGACGTCATGTTGACAGTAAAAATAGGGTACGGTATACACTTTTCTCAGCCACATGTTAATTTATAATTATAAACTTTTTGTTCAGTGCTGTTATCACCTTACAGTGACCTGACCCCTCCTCGAGAACTGGCAAACTGGTGTATAGTTCTTCCCAGAGCATTCTAGAGCAATGTGTTAACCATGAAATATTTTTTCTTCACCACCAGGAAATATCCATACTGAAATGAAACCAAGTGAAAATTTCCTCTTTTCTTTCTTGATTTTATCCCATTTTGTTCAGCATTAAAATTGTGTGGATTATGACTTTTTGTTGTGAGCAGTCTATGAATGCTGGTATGATACTGAATGCTTTTTTTATTGTCAGTATCTGTCACATTACGGCTTAAAACTAGAATTAATATTACCGGAATGGTACTAACATGTTCTTACTGTGTTGGAACTGTATATTTTATTTTTTCTGTAGTATATACATCTATTTTTAGAATGAAACTAACCTTGATATAATTGTATTTTATTCTCACAGCATATGGTTATGAGTTTTCGAGTGTCTGAATTGCAAGTTTTGTTGGGTTTTGCGGGAAAGAACAAGAGTGGACGTAAACATGAACTCCAGGCACGAGCTCTTCAGCTTTTAAAAAATGGCTGTGACACGCCAGTGCAAATAAAAATTAAAAACTTGTACAGAAGGCGGTATCCACATAAGTTTCATGTGATAAGTCCACCTCATGCGACAATGTCATCATCAACAACAACAACGTCGTCGTCATCATCAAATACACAGTATTCCACAAATTTTAGATTACAACCAACACATTCACAAGGACTATTGAACTTAAATAACACTGCATCGTCAGGATCACAATCAAGTTCACTGCCAGTGCATCCTGATGTCCGGTTAAAACATTTACCATTTTATGATGTATTGGATGATTTGATCAAACCAACAAGTTTAGGTGAGTTACAATGTGCATTTGTTACTATAACTATGTTATATGTTTCAATGTTTGTGTGTATACATGTATGTGTATTCTGAGTTGTATGCTTATGTGGTCTTAGCAATTTGAGCAACTTTACGCTATTAATTATGTCAGACAAAAACAAATGAAATTATGGAAGTGCTCCAAGGCCGGCTTGTGCTTCTTCTGGCTGCCTTGGTGTCCTTTAATAATATAGATATTTTCATCACACCATAATTTAGTCTGACCTTGACCTTGTGATGGTGTTTTCACCAAGAAATATGAGTGATAGAATTGTTCCATCTATGTGGAAATACAGTTACCCATCTATTGAGGCAGAAATGTGAGGTACTGTAATAGATTAATTAATTTGCGAATCACATAGTTTTTTTTAAAAAGCGTATACAAATGGAAGCTATTCTTTGCTTCTGTGCAAATTCTTTTTGGTTGATTCAATAATTTGTATTTCATTTAAATTTCACTTATTCCTCAGCTCCTGAGAGCGAGGTTATTTGTAGTTATGTTGGCGATCGCCACTGTGTCTGCGGAAGTACTATGGAGGATTGCATGATGGGAGTGAAAAGTCTTTTGATCAGTAAAATAATTTTAGAAAAGTGAAAACTAAAGTGACTGTGAAATAAAGTTTGGTTTTAAATATTAAATATCATGAAATTTGAATGTAATAATGAAAGGAAATTGAACTGGTTTGAAAGAGCAGTAAATGTAGCCAGAATGCAAGGTCAGAATCCAGGGGTCAAAATACATCACAATACATCCATCAAAGCTGTTGCAAAGTGTCAACAACTATGGATGAGGTAAAATACTTCGTTTGCAGTTTGGGTGAATGGCCGTGGAGAAAAATTCATGCAAATTATTTACTTCAGTAACAGTATCTGCTACTTGTTTGTGT